AGTACATCTTGAATGCTGACTTCTGTAGGTCTTTCTCGGTCAGGTGAAGATCCTTTAGGCTCTGAAAGAGCAGGTAGGTCCTGAGTAGCCCAAAAGCGGTCAATGATGTTGGCAAGCTTGATGTTGTGCTGTGTAATGGAGCACTGATTGTACACTGCCCGGCACTTGGCATCTTCATTTTGTACCATGTTGCCTTAGGAAATAAAAGCACAAGAGAAGAACTGAATGAGAAAGTATCTTAATATTAGAAAAAAACACTCCTCTTCTACACAGATTGTCCTATCACTCTATTTTAAATTTTGTTGCAGAGAGGATTGTAATTTAATCTGTGAGCAGATAATCAGTCTCAGAAGTTTTGCTCAAAGGGGTTTCAGAGCACAGAAGTAAAGTAGATTCTCACAATTGTTTTTAAAGCAACATGAGACATGAGTGTATACAAACCTTAGGGGTGGAACTCTTTCTTTTTCCATAATTTGGTTTTAGGTAGAAGACAGGTGTAAACATCTCTTTTTTCTCTTAGGTGAAAGTTTGAGTACTCGGCTGCAGTATTTTAATATAATAGTTAGATTTCTTTTTTCTTTTGTACACTACTCAAAAATTGATTGCCAGTCTCAGAAGCCTTAACTATAAACATTTTCTGCATGAGTTTCTATTTCCCCTATGCAGTATGTCATTTAAAAGTATAATACAAGGTTTTCCTTATGGTTCCTCAAAGCCATTGTAAAAACATGTACTGTAAACTCAAATCCACATAAACGGTTGAAAATGAGAGGAAGCCTTTTGGTTCATCTAGCTTGTGTAGTGTTGTGCTTTCCTTGAACCTGAAAGTGTTGTATTTGATGTAAATGCAGAAATTTTGAATATACAAACCTTTGCACAGTGCTGTGCTCACAAATCAACACACTATCAAAGTTTTGATCAGCACTAAAATTCCTGCCCTGATGGCAAATTAACTACTTTTCATTTCTGTATTGCATATCATATTTATAGCTGCAGTAAAGATCCAAATAGTTTATAAATCCTCCTATTGGAGGAACTCTTCTTATAATTCAGAAAGATTGAGAATGACAGGAAAGTGAGCTGGGTTAGGGTAAGGCAATTGTTTTGGCAATGCTGCTAAAACTTAATATGCTCAATGGTTTCCTCCTTAATTGGATTCAGTGGAGTATACAATAAGTCAACTGTCCTATACAAACCAATGAGAAATAAGAGCAATAAGAATGTCTCCTTCACTGAGTGGCTTTATAGATTCAACTCACCATCATAATGAATAGATAACTTTAGATTTAAATGTGAAATTCTACACATTTTCATTATTTTGCCAATTATTTATTTAAATTCACAAGAACCATTTTCTGGAAAGAAAATGGAAAAGCAAGCCACTTCTGTGCACATTGTCAAGTGAGCAAATGTCACGGATGTCTGAAAGGGCGAACCGTGGAATGGGAGGAGAGCG